CAGGACTTCTCCAGGTTTCTTATTTATGAAAGTAAATCTGCATTGTTTGAATGTGAATGTTTCTTTTTCATCCTGATTTCAACTCTTTTTGTTTCTTTTTCTCTCAACACTTATTCCAATAACTGTAAGAGTCCCTAGGGGTAAAAAAAATTCTGTTTCTCTTTTCTCTGGCTCTATTTGGGCAATTGCCATCATTTATGAACCAGTATCTCTTGTGAAATGAGCTGGCACTAAGGAAGTTGTGGTACAGATGCCCTTAGAGGTTGATTTTGTGATAAATTTAAGTTTTTCTTCCTAAGACTTTCTTGAGACTGAGAATATGACATTTGTATTTTATAGGAAAAAATCTCCAAATAAAACATCTAGCAACTGCATATCCTGTAACCTGTATTTCGGTTATTACTTGCTCCTTTATTATAATCCTTCTAATTATAATCCTACTCGTTCCGAAAGGTAAGTTACTTGTTTTTTAAACTTTACAACATTCTCCACTCATTTATATTGTCAATAGATATTTACTGAGTTCCATTTTGTACCGGGTACTGTGTCAAGTGCTCGAGGTATATCAGTGAACAAAACACGTAAAATTTCCTGCTCCTAGGGAACTTATATTCTAGAAAGAAGACACGAATACTATGATAAATAAAGATAAGGGTGGAACAGGTTCCGGTATACATAAAGTAGCCAAGTTAAGACTTTTTGAGAAGATGACTCTTCAGCAAACTTTCAAAGGATATGAAAGAGTGAGGAAAGCATTCCAGGTAGTGAGAGCAAGCAAAACGATCTCTTAGTTTGTCTGGGTAATAGCAGGGAGGCTGTCCTAGCTAGAGCAGAGTGAGAATAAGGAATAAAAAAGGATGGAGGTCAGGGGTCATAGCCTTGTATGTCATTTAAAGATTGGCTTTTACTTTGAATGCAGTGGAGAAAAGGAAGGTTGTAGGAGAGGAATGTCGTGATCTGACTCCATTGTAGAATAAACATTTTGACTGCTATATTGAGAATATTTAGGAGACGATGGTTGAATCATGGAGCCATATTAGGACAATCTTGTAGTAATCTAGGCAAGAGATGATGGCTTGGGCCTGATGATAATATTGAAAGTAGGACAGGGTGGTCAGGTCTAGACATTTTGAAAGTTGAATTAACAGAATTTCATATCAGATTAGATGTGAAGGTTTAGAAAGAGAAAAGTCAAAGATAACTCTAAGAATTTTCTATTAAGCTACAGCAAAATGTAGTTGCCATCCGTTGAAAGAAAGGTTGTGGATGTAAAGAGTTCCATCTATGGAGCTATTTCCTGATACGTCACAATCAGAATTAACATTTTATTAAGTAAATACTCAGGTGAGATTTCTGAGTTTTTATCCACTACTTACTCAGTTTGAGAATGCACAAAAGTATAAAATACTTAAAAAAATTCCTTTGTATATGGAGGCAATAGGTCCTCAGCATTATTTGGCATGCTTGGTATGTCCAGGAAGAAATGACATTGATATTAGTAAATGTTATGAGTATTCTGATTATATTCAGGGTCTTTGAAAGCTTTTTGTTTCTATAACTCCTAAACATGATGTAAACATTTTTGAAAACTAAATATCCCATGGTAAATGTTTATGTTAACCACCTGACATTTTTCATCAGAGATTTAAATAGTTGCAAATGAGGTACTTTCCAACATGTTGCAAATGTTGGCACTTAAAAATTATTCTATTATGTTGTTTTTTAAAATGTATCTATTGGTATTTGAAATTTGATGCAATTTGATACCCACTATTAACCATTTAAAAAAATACATGAATAAAATTGTCTTAATTTTTGAAAAATGTGCTTTGTCTTTTTCAAATGCCTGATTACATATTTTATTTTTACTCTAGAATTTTATCACAGCATAATATGTAATATTTTTGTATCCTTAAAAGCCATGTATCCTTTGTTATTTAATAAATTTTTTTGCCATAGAATTATCTACACATTAAAATTTAATTTTTAAAAAATCATATAATTTTTAACTTCTCAAAATTATTTCTTCTAGATTAAGTTAGAATTACAATTTTTAGTAATATTTAATATGTTAAAGCAACATATATTATAAATTTTGATAATTATCAAAAGAAAAATAAATTTATATATTTATTAAATTATATAATGTAAATTAGTCAAAATGCTGCTCTCAGTAATTTACTGCAATGTAGTATTCGTCATGAATAGATAAAACCATGAGCTATTAGGAAGGATGACAAAAAGCATGCTAATTCTTCAGTAAATGCCTTCACACAGTGTATTTAATTCTAACATTTACCTTTTAATGTAATTAAATTAGAATCACTTATAAAAACTCAGGGATAACTCCATTAATAAAGCTAGACCTTACGATTCAACTTTTCTTATGAATATAAGGAGATGGTCTAATCTATAAATTTTCCCCCACCTCAAAAAAAAAGTAATTTGTCTAGAAGTTAGTATCAAGTTTTATTTTTTATTCATATCAAGAAGAACATACTAAATATTTTATGAGAACAAAAGAAGACAATCATACTTGGATTAAATATTTCATGACATTATCTGATAAAATTATCTTTAACTATCTAAACAGTTCATTTATGTAAAAATATGAAATGATATTAACCTTGAGAGCTATTTGCTTTCATTCCATTACCCAATGACTCACTCTAAGTATGAGAATTGAGAATAGCTGCAAAGAAATTACTTACCTTTAAATATAAGGGAAAATAAAAGTCATCTTTGGTGTTCAATATTTCTTATCAAGTCTTTTTTACTTTGTTTTTACCAGACTTTCCAAGGAGCAATGCATTCTTTCTTAGATATTAATGTAGGAAAAGGTGAGATTATGAAACAAAAATGTCTATTTTTCTCATAACCTACATTCTGAAGTATTTCTGGTTTTGGAACATCTAACAAGGGCCAAAATATTTTTATACATATTTAACAAAAAATTCATATAAAATAGAAAAGTACAGGCAGCACTATATTGTATTTTTGGTACTAAAATCAATATTTGAATTGTGATATGTTTTGTCCATTAGAAGTTTATGTACCCCCTAAGAAACGTGCTATAGTAAAATCTAGGATAATTAAGGAATTTGCCTTCCTTTTGTCAAGAGAAAAAATGGCTAATATTAAGGAGGATGTAGGAAAGGA